ATTTCGCTCTCCAGTGCTTTCAGTGCTGCACCATTCACCAGCACAAACACACTTAATTTAAGGGGGACACAGCTAATCCACCAAGTCGAATTATTAATAAATTTAAACTGTTTAAAATCCAGTGAAAACAAATACATCTTCATTCCACACTGAAACAAAGAAGGGTCACTCTGGATGCTAAGGGCAATAAGTTCCATAAGGTCTAAGCAATGCATAATGGCAAAAAGGTTCATCTGACAGTATTTTTCACACACTAAAGCCAATCAGAGTTTTCGTGAATAAGAACTGTAGGATTTGGCCTGCAGTCGCTATGTGTTTTCTGTTTGTGATCACGTCTCTCTCTAAAGACTGGTGCCAACAATTACAACAACCAGCTATCTACTCAGAGCTGAAGGAATTATTAAACAGTAATGAATTAAATACATTATACAGTAATAAATCATGAAGACCAGCTGGTATCCACCAAGAGTTCTGAAGGAACTCAAATATGAAATTGCAGAAATACTAACTGTGGTATGTAATCTATCATTTAAATCAGCTTCTGTACCAGACGAGGAGGATAGCTAATGTGATGCCAATTTTTTTTAAAAGGCTCCAGAGGCGATCCCAGCAATTACAGACTCGTAGAGCCTAACTTCAGTACTAGGCAAATTGGTTGAATCTATAGTAAAGAACAGAATCATCAGACACATAGATGAACATGATTTGTTGGGGAAGAGTCAACACGGCTTTTGTAAAGGGAAATCATGCCTCACTAATCTATTAGAATTCTTTGTGGGGGAATCAACAAATATGTGGGCAAGGGTAATCCAGTGGATATACTGTACTTGGACTTTCAGAAAACTTTTGACAAGGTCCCTCATCAAAGGCTCTTACGCAAAGTAAGCTGTCATGGGATAAGAGGGAAGGTCCTCTCATGGATGGCAAAAGAGAAAACAAAGAGTGGGAATAAATGATCAGTTTTCAGAATGGAGAGAAGTAAATAGCAGTGCCTCCAAGGATCTGTACTGGGACCAGTGCTGTTCCATATATTCATAAATTATCTGATAAAAGGGGTAAACAGTGAGGTGGCAAAGTTTGCAGATGATACAAAACTACTCAAGATAGTTAAGTTCAAACCAGTCCATGAAGAGTTACAAAGGACTATCATAAAACTAGGTGACTGGACAACAAAATGGCATTCAGTGTTGATAAACGCAAAGTAATGCACACTAGAAAATATAATCCCAACTATATACACAAAATGATGGGGGCTAAATTAGCTGTTACCATTCAAGAAAGATCTTGGAGTCATCGTGGATAGTTCTCTAAAAACATAGGCTCAATGTGCAGTGGCAGTCAAAAATATTAACAAAATGTTTTGAACCATTAGGAAAGGGATAGATAAGAAAACAGAAAATATCATAATGCCACTATATTAATCCAGTGTATGCCCATACCTTGAATATTGCGTGCAGTTCTGGTCACCCCATAGCAAAATATATGTATATACACACACCGGAAAAGTGGGCTAAGAGGGAATGTGATAAGAGGTCTATAAAATCTTGAATGATGTGGAGAAAGTAAATAAGGAAATGTTATTTACTCCTTTGTACAACACAAGAACTTGGGTTCAACCAATGAAATTAATAGACAACAGGTTTAAAACAAACAAAAGGAAGTACTTCTTCACACAACGCATAGTCAACCTGTGGAACGTGTTGCCGGGGAGGTTGTGAAGACCAAGATTAAAACAGGGTGCATAAAAGAACTAGATAAGTTCATGGAGGATAGGTCCATCAATGGCTATTAGCCAGGATGGTCAGGGATACAACACCATGCTCTGAGTGTCTGTAACTTCTGTTTTCCTGATGCTGGGTATGGACAATGGAATGGATCACTCAATAATTGCCTGTTCTGTTCATTCTCTTTGAAGCACCTGGCATGGGCCTCTGTCAGAAGACAGGATATTGGGCTAGATGGACTAATGGTCTGACCCAGTATGAACATGAGGTACATATGTTCTTATGTACCTCAAGTCACAGAGGCTTGCATTTTTAGGGCTGAAGGTCTTAAGTTTGATTCCTGCTAATGAATGTAATGTCTGTGAGTATGCAAGCCTGGTGCAACAAATAAGGATTATGGAAATGTCTCCATTAACATAATGACAGAGTGAGGATTGTAGGATTTAGCCCTAAAAGAGCAACAATCCAAGATGACATTCTGAACTGTGCAGTCACTATCTCTGAGACAAGGTGGGTGAGGTAATATCTTTTATTGGACCAACTTCTCTTGGTGTGAGAGAGAAATTGATCCAATAAAAGATATTACCTCACTCACCTTATCTCGCTAATATCCTGGGACTGACACGGCTACAATACACAGTCTCTAAGAGGTAACTTCTCTTTACGATGTGCCTTCCATGTCAACAGAAATGTCTTAAATAACAGATACAAAGTGCAGCTGATCTGAGACAGTGTAAAGTGTTTTGAATGGGCTGATGACACTCACTTCTCTTTCTCCATTATGTTTGATGCATTCCACTGGGCCTGGATGAGACAGAGTTGTTGAGGCTCAGATCAGATGAACTAGAGACAATATGGGTAGGCTGGAGGAAGCAGATAGAGGACATGGCAAGGATTATATCAGCCCATCTGATTGTCAATGTGCGCCTATTGTTTGTCAGCAGAGTTGGCAGATCGGGTGGTGGAGGTGTCAAAAGTTCCAGGTGCTATAAGATATTTGCATGGCAGCAATGTCTAGAAGAGCTTCCCCCCCCACACCTCACATCTCCATCTGGCCAGCAGGTCATGACCCTTTCTCAGACATACAGACCTCTCTACCCATGTTCCTTTGTCACCCCAAAAGTAGACTATTGTAGTATGTTCTATATGAGGCTACACCTTAAGTCAATCTGGAAAGAAAAGCCAGTATAGCAGGCATCTGATTAAGCACTCTGTCATGCCGTGATCTGTGCTGGCTGTTTAAGGAATGTGCCGGATGCTCTGGGGTCAGTGCTGGCTGACCGAGTGGCGTTGGTTCTAAATTATGAAACTCTAAATGACTTGGGACCTGCCTACCTGAGAAGCTGCCTCTCTCTCCATGACACACTGCTGCAGCTCGGGTCAGCAGAGGAGCAAATAAACCCTATTATTCCCCTGGATGGTCCAGGAAAGGGCTGGACATTGCATGGTTTTTGGGAAAATTCAGGACTGGGGATTGTTGGGGTTATCTTGCAGGTGTAACCCAGGCTGGTGGAGGCCAGAGTGAGGCTGGGGTGTAACAAGCTGGCTGCTGGAATCAGAATGCTGAACCAGAGCTGCAAAGCACACAGACACTCAGGATACGGCATGCTTGTCTGCTGGCTATTGATGTCCGGGCTGTGAGCCACAACAGCAGAGCATTTAAGGCACCCAGGGTTATACAGCTGGTGGTGACACAATGCCTCAATGGTCTCAACTGCACCACAGTATGTGACACACTTCATGAGACTTGTGATCAAACTGCAAGAGCTGCCAATAATAAACATGCATGGCTGCATTGTCAACTTGCACCAGGCCTGAATCATGCATTTAGGTGGCATTAGAACTGAGCACAGACAAACTCAAGGGGAAACAGGGTTCTGGATCTCAACTTTGTTCCATGCACCCATCTCTGATCAAAATTAAAAATACATGTTCCTGGCTCTAAAATTCATTTGTGCCTGTATTTTTCTTGATCGGTAAATGGAAAGTGCTTGTTATTTGATTTCACCAGCAATAATAATAATAAAAAAACCCTACAGCTGGTTAGTTTTGCCCTACCCCAGCAATTACAGAGAGTGATGATCCAGGCTACATCTTGGATTTGCAGCTTGCACTTTGTACACACTGTCTTCCAATAAACAGTTACAAAAGTCTTGAAACCCACAGAGAGAGAGAGAGAGAGAGAGAGAGAGAGAGAGAGAGTGTGTGCCTGCACATGTCACAAGCTACTTGACTCACACAATTCACCTGTAGAATATCACCTATGAATACACATACAAACCATACACTGCAGGTACATGTTCTATGTCCTCATTAGCATTGCATCTGCCAAGTGCCACCACAGAAAGAGAGGCTGGAGCTTTTCAGAAACTTCTTGTTTTGAATCTCAAAATAAAATCCACAGCCTTTTGGGTTACTAGTAAATTTGAAGAATTAACCAACTGCTGTCTGAATGATAATACAAAATCTGAACATGTCTGTAGTATGTAATTAAGCCATGGCCAACTGTATATATATTTAAGAGAGATTATATGTATGTGTAATACTGATTTGGGCCGCCAGGGTTCTAGTTCTCCGTGACCCTTACATTGAGAATTAGTAAACTGGGAGCTGAGAAATAGAGGTGAGAAGAGGTGGCCTTCAAGTAGATTGGCAGTCACATCAGACACCATGTTTCACGGGGGCCGTGACTCTGGAAGGTGTGTCCACTATCAGGAGGAGATATCTAGCCACGACCCTCTAAGGGTTAATCCCCAAAGTACAAGGTATTGGTCAAAACACAAATTCTCCACCCTTGGGCAGAGTGGAATGGAAAGGGGAAGGCAGGAGAGAGTGAGGGACAAGAGATGGAAGGTGACATGGGGAAGGCAAAGTGATGAAGATGACCTGCGGAAAGAGGCGGAGAAGAGATGAGGCAGCTAGTATGTTGTCTCTCTGGCGAGTGCTATAAAAACAAATGTATTTGCCTAGGTGTCAGTACAGCCAGGGCCAGTCCTAGAGTGCAGTGGAACAGCTCTAGTGTCGTCAGCATTCTCTGCTGTGTCAAGCCTTTGTAAGCAAGGCAGTGTTAGGTCACGCATATCACAGTGGAAGATGACACTAGAGATGTGGTGTGAACTAAAGGAATTGCCCACACACAGCCTATATTGCTTGTTCCACAGTTTACTGGGTCAGTGGTGTCTGTACACTCTCCTCTAGCCATTTACAACACAGATTCCCCAGAAAGAAATGACCCGCACCTCCACTCTTTGCCCACTCCCAGTTCTTGTTTCTTACCTTGCACAATCAAATAAACCTGGGAAGTCCTGGGGTGATGCTGTGTCTGTACTGAGCATGTATAGGACCCCTCATCATACACGTCCACTTTCTGGATCCGGAGGCTGTATTCCAGAGGGGTTCGTTTTTCCAGTTCTACCCGAGGGTCCAGGGACCACTTGTCCTGTCCAGCAAAAATGATGCCAGAACGGTTTAACCAGGCCACTTTGGAGCTTCGGTCTTCTACATAACATCTGTTGAGGGTGAAAACAGAGATTGGGGTATCAGCTCAGACTCCACTTTGGCTCCTACCTTTTTCCAGCATTCCATGGGATTCTGCAATATGCTCCAGGCTTGCCAACAGTCACACATCATCAGCATCGACACCACTTATTACATCAGCCACATTACTAACGTGCTTTACAAATATGAAATGATCAGGGCAGCCCAAAGGAGATGTGAGGAGGCGTGAGTTGCCTGGGCCCTGCTATCTCTTTCCCTTCGTAGGGACTTTTCACACGCAAAGGGGCATTCTGAGGGCCTCTAGGGCTTGCATCCTGGCCTCCAGCTTCCCTTTGATCCTGTCAATGGTATAGGGCAGACGGAGCTGAAGATTGTTGAGCTCTCCTTCACACACCCCCCTCCCCAATGACTGAGTATACAACAGACTCAATATTCCCAGCCCCCTGCCAGCCTGGGGATGGTGAGAGGTCAGAAATGAGAATTGGGTTTGTTGTGCCGAGAACAGCTGCTGCATCATGTGATCTACCTCCTCCATCCCCCAACTTTTGTGCCCCTAGTGTTATGTTCCACCCGCTCCCTCACACCGCCCTGATGGAAAGGCTTTGTGGAAAACTAGATGTCCCCCTCATGCAGCTATATATGCCATGGGTGTGTGCATGTGTGCTACACCAATGATAGAGAAAGCCTGCAGGGACGTCACTGTCACACCCCCCACCCCGACAATTGCTGTGTGTCCTTATAATGCCACACAGCAGCTGAGAAAGTCATGGGAGGGTGGAGGGCAGGTAGGTATGGTACACAGAGGAGCGACAGTATTGGCTCACCACCTGTCATGGCCCTAGTCCCAGCTGCCAACAGCAGCAGGGGCTGCAGGCGGGAGGACGGATTGACAGCCCTTGCAGCTACATTACAGTGATTTAATTATTTTATAGATGGTAGAAGAGCCATCACAGTCAAACCCAGCTTTAGCTGAGGCACTGGCTCTGTACAAATATCCATCTCAACCCTCTGAGCACTGACCATAGGAAAGAGACAGACGGAGGGCATGTACTGATGATCAGTCTCGGCTGGGACTGAACTTCCCTCTCTTTCCTCGCAGGGGTCCCCTCCAGGGCGGGGCTGAGCAGTGGCAATGGAACAATTTTTACAGGGGGGGGTGCTAAAAGCCAGTGGTCCCCAAACTTTTTACCTTGCACCTCCCCTTACTCCGTCTGTGGCCCCCCACTCCCCAGAGCTGGCTCTAGGATGGGGGGGGGAACGCAGACAGGGGTAAGGGGGCTGAGGCTGAGACCACAGCTGGGGGTGGGAGTAGAGCCCCAGGTGCAGGTCTTGCAGCCGGAACCCCTCATACGGGTCCAAGAACAGAGCCCTGAGTGCGGGGCCGGCGGCAGCCAGTACCCCGGGTGTGGGCCCAGGAACAGAGCCCCGGGCGCGGGTCCTGCAGCCGGGGCCCCACGTGCGGGTCCAGAACTGAGCTGCCACTTCAGCTTTTGAGAGGAAAAGTCCTCTTTCCAAACTCACCAGACAACTTGCATGTCAGAGGGAGCAGGTTTATAGCTGTAAGACTCTTCCACTTTCCATATTCGTGGCAAATAAAGCTCTTAAAGCACAACAAATAGTGAAAGGACAGTCGAGGCCGCTCATCTAGACCCTGTATAAGTCATCTTGTAGGTTCCACTATCTCCGAATTTAACAGGAAACCTCTATGCACTAGTGCCCACCTCTCCCAGTTCCCCGCCACCACATTGCACAGGGCAGTTCTCAGCACATTCTTCGTGCCACCCTCTGAGTCAGCCTGAATGACCCAGCCTGCATTGCAGGGTAGTAGGAGAAAGTTTGGCAGTGAGGAGATCACTGGCCAGGTTTGTTCAGATTTGCCTTGCAAGAGAAGCTACTATTCTCATAGTATTTCTTACTTGACCACAATAGCAGAGCTTCCCACAAGCATTTCCAATACCCCATGGCAAGCATATTTTGCTAACTCTGAGGGGAAACAAAATATGCAAGAAGCTAAACTGTGACACATGTAACTTTCACAGGTTCCTTGATAGTATAGTGGTAGGGAATGGAGGCACCCTGACAGCTCAGGTCCGGGAACGGAGCCCCGAGTGCAGGTCCGGTGGCAGCCGGGACCCCGGGATGCAGGGCTGGGACCCCGCACAAAAACTGGGGGGTGCTGCAGCACTCCCCGCACCCTTAGTTCCCATGCCTATGGGGCTGACACACACATGGATGGAGCAGAGGCTGGATGCTTGCCCTCAAGCTACCCAGGCTGTGCCTGTTCTGTGGACATATAAAGGAGTTAAATCTCTGAGGCTGTTACACGACCACCTCTCATGGCTCCACCCCCGTCTGTGGGAATTCAAAGAGGCCAGCACTTCTCATCAGCACTATTCACACAAATGAAGAGAGAACAACAGAGGATGAAGATTGTTGCCGAACGATAAGACGAATATTTGACAGTAGGTTTTCAAATAGCCTCTTAGGAAGGGTCAGACATTTTCCAAGTTCCTACACTTGAATGCGGTTCATTCAGATTTTGCTGAGGCGGCCGTCTACAGCTATGTGACTCCACCCGTATACAGCACTCCTCTCTAGCAAACATGCCCACGGAAGCTTTCTGAGTTGTTCTGGGCAGTAGCAATGCCATGCTGTGTGGTGATACCATTGTGCTGGTCAAGCTAGGAGCTTGACTAACATTTGCCTGGAGGGTGCAGCCCAAAGACTCAGGCCTGTGTAACTGACTTCCAGCTAAGAGAGGCCAGCGAGGCTTCACTCGCCCAAGTGCAAGCTGGTTCTTCTGTCCAGATGCACATTTCCCCTGAGGCGAGTTTACAGCTGGGATTGTTTTTGTTTTAAAATCTGCCTCTTCACTAAGAAAGAGGGCCGGGGAGAGGAATCACTCTGGGGTCATTTGCGTTTAGCAAAGTGGGCAGAGAATCAGGTGGCTTCGAGGCATGCAATGTCAACGAATGGTGCCACCTCAGACTGCAATCCTGATGACAGGAGCAGAAAGCAACCATCTGAGGAAGGCGCTGAGACTGAGGGCTGGTCTATACTTAGCCGCTAGTTCGGCGGCTGGAAATCGAACTTCCTGGTTCGATTTATCGCGTCTGGTCTGGACGCGATAAATCGAACCAGGAAGTGCTCGCCGTCGACTGCGGTACTCAAGCTCAACGAGAGGAGTACCGCGGAGTCGACGGGGAGCCTGCCTGCCGCGTGTGGACCGCGTCTGAACCGCGGTAAGTTCGAAGTAAGGTATGTCGAATTCAGCTACGTTATTCACGTAGCTGAATTTGCGTACCTTACTTCGACTTGGGGGGTAAGTGTAGATCAAGCCTGAGAGCTGATAACACATCACACTATTGGTGACCTTCTGCCCATCTCTAATGCCTTCAACCTGAGCATCTCAAAATGCTGCACTCACATTCATGAAAGCTGCCCTTCCTATCCAGTGGTGCAATAAATCAGTATTATTACCACAGAGAGGCTAAGGGCCAGATTTGCCTAATTTGGTGCCTAGAGCTGCAGATGGGCACCTAATGGGATTTTCAAAAGCACCTGTGTAGGTGAACGCTGACATTGAAGACAATGGGAGTTAGGTCCCTACGTCACTTAGGTGCTTTTGAAAATCCCTCTGTTCCTAGCTGCATCTTTAGGCACCACGGGTGCGATCCACAATGCAACGTAGGCACCTAAACTCCAGAGTTAGACACCTAACTCCCTGTGCGTGGCACCACTGTGATTCATGAAACTCCCGCTTAGCTGCTGCTTAACCCTGTAGGCACCTAAACTTAGTCAGAGCCTAACTTTGCACTGTTAAAATTCCCTGGGTGCCTAAGTTTTAGATCCTGGGACATGCACACTGTTGCCTCCATCAGAACGATTCATGAACTGAAGGAAGATAGGCATTCAGCTGCCGAAATCGCATGCAGGCCTCAATCCCATAAACATGGTCAGAGGCTTAAATAGTCACTGGGCCAGGGAGTGAGAGAGAGAATGACTCTGTAGCCTGGCGACTGGGGCACCCACCCTCCAGTCACTCTTTCAATAATTATCCACAGGGAAACAGCTTCAACAGGAGAGACTGAGGGAGCTCTACATCTGAACATCCCAGAGCTCTGAGAGGTGGGAGACCCTTGTGCAAATCCTTTCTCCCCCTCTGACAGAGAGGGGGGAATTAACCCTGGGTCCCCCACATCCCAGTTGTGTGCTTGACCCACTGAGATGCAAGTTATGAGGTGGGCATCAGCACCATCACTGGCCGTTTTGTGTGGAGCAAGGCAGGCACCTAACTCATTCCTGCAAGAACAAGTTTAGGTGCTTAAGCCACCTGACTGCAGGCGGTTGGTTCCTATTCAGGGATCAATAGCAGAGCTAGGTGCTCCTGCAACCTGAACCTATGTACCTATCCCCTTGAGAGGGGTGGGACCTAGGACAAACTCTTCTAGTTGACATCTCCCATTGGCTAGCTTAGGCAGCTCCCCACCTAGCATGTTGGATTTTGTGGATTGTATTTTTAGGCTCTCCCGCCACTGTATAAGGACCTAATGCACCTAACTCAGTGTTGTGGATTACAGTGTGATTTTCTAGGTTCCTCCAAGTCCGGTGCCTCGCATCGCAGCACCAAAGTCCTTTTCCCAAAATCTGGCCCTAGGTGACTTCCACAGCATCAAACTGCAGATCAGTAGCCAGGCCAGGACTAAAACCCGAGTCTCCTAACTTCCAGGTTTAAGCTTTAACCATGAGGCCATCCTTGCTCCCCTAATGCCTCTTAACTTCTTCACTTGTGTAGGATGTTCACCGCTACCCCGATGTTTAGCTTTATCTGCTAAGGCTTGCTACCACTGGAATGACATGTATACTGCCCTTTAATTGCCACAGCAGCCATTCCACCACAAGGTGACACCCCAGCTTAGTGACAGAAGACTGAGCAGCGGTGAGGGAGGAGTGAGTATGTTCCACAAATCCATTCCAGGGGAGTACATACTTGGTCCCAGGTGAGCACAGA